AGAATTGACCCAAAAATCGAACTACCTTTTAGAACTAATAGGCACACCGTGACACTACTGCTTTTCTAAAACTTTATTGACTTCATTCAAATATATTATCTTTAGCAAAGTTCATAATCCCCGCAAGTGACATCACTGGTGTGGTTGACAACGAATCCTGGTATACTTCTTCACTCGACGCTTCCTTAAAGCGTCGTTCATTCGCCGATTACTCCTCCACCTCGCTCTCCCACTCCACCTTCGACGGAGTACTTGCCCGTCCATCGAGCCTAAAACGTAACAGTCAAGTCGGTCTAAGACTCTCTCGAAAGACTCTGACCAAATTGTCACGCACCCCTCCACGTCTTCGACTTAGCGCCAGACTTCTTCGTCTCACTGTTCTCCCTCTCTGTGGGTATAGCAGCCTTCTGAGAGCTCTATCGAACCCTGCTGCCTGTACAATGCTCCTATTGAGGAGGTTGGAACCATTTCTCTCGGTGAAATCAAAAGCTGCAGTTGCGAAATCCCTACTAGCTACACTTCACTTGAGAGGAGAAGTTCCACCATTCCTTGCGGCTATGGTGCTTTCTGAGGTTCAGGAACAAGGTGGGTTTTCCTAAGTTACCATTCAATTACTAAAAATTCATAGGCGGCGGATAATTTGCCACATTAGCAAGTTATACCGAGGAAGCTTTTAACGGCTGGAATTAAAAATGTTCCAGCTGTGATCATGGGAAAGCCCGCACAAAAATAGTTGAATCCAAATACAGGGTGAAATGAGGTTCGAGAGAGGTGGCTAATATATGTCCGTTTCTGAAATGGAACTGGTCTCGTCAGCAAAGCTTCCCTAAGATTTCAAACAAGTGAGTCTCGAAGATATGCCTTCACAGGCCAAATGACCTTCCGCAAATTTGACTTAGTTGAATGAGAATATCAAGATTTAGGCACGCAAGTGAAAGTGTATGGGTGGGGGGAAGGAGGAAGAAGTTGGAATGGGGATTTTGGGAGACGATGGTTGAGCTGAACACAAACAAGAAGGCTTGTTTCTTATATTCCAAGCTCTGGTAGTGTTAAGAGGAACTAAATAGTAAATGAATATTTACCTTCTTTAAGAGAATTCTGCACTGTTATCCTTAATGCAGACTAGTAGAAAATTATGCATCTAATGTCTAGTAGAAAGCGGAGGTAGACGATAAAAGATTGTCTGCACTGGTACGTGAATGACTGGAAAGCTAATTGGTTCACGGGGTTTTGCGATCGGTCGATGATTGTGCTCTTCTGGCGGATGTTAACTTGATTTCTGGTCTGTAGTCGATTCCAAAACAGGGAGAGAGTTGGAGAATTCGGCACGATAGCAGAGTGGAATGGAATGACAGAATAAAAAGACGCCTCTATTGTTTAAACTGCCTTTGTTCCCAGCTAATTTGAAAGTTTGTTTGAAGGATATGCCTCATTTTGATAGATCTTTATCCTTGTTTATAGAAAATTTCACAGGTATGTACTGGAAGTATATCAAGGGAAATATCAATATTTATTTTGTCGTGCTTTACGTACTGATGACTTTCGTTCTATCATTTGTTTGTGCCACAAACGATGTTTTTATATCCTTTTGTCGGTCATTTGACAGGACATGTTCACACCCTACCCCCCCCCTTCACCCCTTACGTGGAATTATAAAAGAACTTCAGTCCTGAGTGCATTTAAGTGGGTGAATCTCATGCAAATAAATTAACTTTCCGTTGGTTTTAAACCCATCCAGCTTTAATATGGTCTGCTTTGTGCTAGTTATCCTTAGCCCCTGAGTTGACTTCGGGCTTCATAGAGGTTAGGAGCATCAAAGTCATATAAAGTCGAGAGAGGGGAGGGGGAACAGAAGAGTGATTCACAGATGTAAAGGAGACAGACAGACACAAAGACAGAGAAAAGGTAAGGTGAGGTGAGTACTGTGGAAGTGGTCGAATATGGCAAACATTGGGGTCATGGTAGTTTAAAGTCAGAAGTCAACTGCCGATTAATAGACTTTTTGACATATTATATTCGAATATGACATACAGTGGGGTGATGGTAGTTTGATCGAGAATGAAAATAAAAATCGGTTAATGAACAGACAGTCATTGCCAGCATCTCTGAGGACGAAAATTGAAGGTTGAATTTTGGAACGAGAAATAGCCATTTATTAAATTTTATACGGCTCCATTCCAAAAAAACGTCATATTGAAAACGAGTCCTTTTCCCCTTGGATATCATGTGCTTCCCACGATTAATATCTATCTAATGTTGCCCCGCTCTTTCAATATTCATATTGGGTATACAAGTAGTAAAATTGAAAATCGAACTGAAGCCACGTATATTGACCATCACCCTCCCTGTAAATCGTCAATCTCTCGCTAAATGTTTTCTTTACCTGAAAGGTTCGTAATTTTACTTGAACTTCAGGAAGAAAAATAAAGTCCCGAGGACTCATTTTTTGTAAACTCACTTTTAATCGATTCTAGTTTGTTAAGTTGATCATTTGTTTTATCAAACGCATATCGATCGATTCCGAATTAGAAAACAGCACTCAATAAATACAATGATGAATTTCCATAAGCCAGCACTAGCAAAGGAAAGGGTTAGAAACATGTTGACATTAGTCAACAAAGTTGTGTGAGATTTGGTCCGATCATCGCTGTAGCCCACTGCACATAGCTCCTATTTTGTAATAGGGCAGCATTGAGGTCAATTGAGGTTATAATGAGTCGCAACGTATGACCTTAAGAAATTTTATCAATACCAACCCAAAAAATCAAGGCGCCTTTAACAGTCTCGATTTGATTTATGCACCAATTTTTGCTCTTTCATACTAAAATATAATAAGGTTATTAATTTTTCCTAACAATTATTCCTCAGTCCCTTTTCTTTGTATCTTAAATTGTTTACATCAGTTTCCCATAATCAAGGAAAACTGGCAAAAAAGAATCTCAAATCTATTGACTAAAGTGCTGCTCATGTACGAAAACACCTCCCCACTTCTTCTACTGCCCCTTGATTCGAATGAAGTATTTTGCATAAAATTTGCAAATAATATATAAAATACGAATAGACCTTTCTATAGAAAACGCCCTTCTCGACACTACTGTGGTGGTTAGTATCATTTTGTGGTGTAGAATATTATTTAAAACTGAGGATACTTCTTAAGGAATCTAATATTTTATTTTCAGTAGCCTTCAAAGAAGTCCAGATCATAAAAATGACTGGACAGCAAAGTGAGCGCTGTTATAGTTATCTTATTTTGTGATTTAGAATAGAAGCTTACGTCATTGCATTAACAATTGTAAAATACTGGTTTATATTAGATTGGTAATTGTGTTGTCGGTCTGAATACTTATCTTTAAACACGATAACAGATAGTAAAAATCGCCAACCCAACTATCAATAATAAATATGTAGCAAATTGTATGTATGCAATATTAGATTGCGTATTAACGGATGCATGTTTATGTTAACATTTCTTCCAGACCATTCGAATACTCGTGAAAATTTTATTTTGCTCGAATAGACAAATGATATCTTTCCAGATAATTATGAAGTGTTAGGTTTCAACGTGAACTTTTCTTTAAAGTGATTTCTTAAGACAAAATATGCAGCGAAATGATTAAAACAACAATTTAGGCAAATGTATTTCAAGACTTAATCTCTGATAATGGAATGAAAACTTTGAATTATTTACAAAATTTCGGATAATTTAGCTTTATGATCACTGGATAAATTTTACGAACATTAAATTGCCGACGAATTTATGATGTTTAACACTAAATAGGAGTTAGTAGTCTAAACGCTGTAGAATTTTACAGAAACACAAAAATTGATCAAATAAATTTGTTATAAAATGAAGACGGATAATAGCTATTCATCACGTCTAAACAAATAAGTACGGTTTTTAAAAAA